TTTTTCCCTCCCACCTTTTCTCAAGTGCAAATGTTCCTTAAAATGAGATGTAATTCCCCCATGGAATTACTGAAAATACAGGTGCAGCTAACAGCCAGAAAATGAGAGCTTTTCATTAGCAGTCACTGTAGCCCTCATTCAAAAAATGACTTTTATAGTTACTTTACCCCATGTAATTACACAGCAAAGCCCCATTTAACGTTTCACTACATAACGGCAACTTTCTGTTTCAAATCAGATTAATGTAAGAGTTACCCAACCATTTTAAGAGATAATAGTGGTAATTAAGGTGTTTCTTGTGATGAGTTGCTATTATAAAGTGGCAGATGATTCTACGATATTCTTGTTGGCTGCATTAGTCACAATTGTTTTCATTAATATTGACTCTATTTTCTTGCCATGCAAACAGAAAAGGAGACTAATCAAAATATTGTGTTGGATTCTTATCCTCTGAGCTCTTCTTTTGGGCTTATGTTCAATTCAGAGTTATCAGTAGGAAAAAAAAAGCAGTTTTCATAAGACATGCAGCTTCACCCGTGTTATTTAAAGCCAGATCGTGAGAACAAAAGGAGAGAATTCTTTTGCTGGAAATATGAAAATAAAGCACCAAAGAAATGTAAATGTTAGGCCTCTGTGAGCACCTCATCTGTTTCCAGTTTGGGGCAGTGATGTGAGGCTGTGGAATTGTGGGCAGCATGGGGAATGAGATGAGTATGCGTATTGGGGTTCATCATCCTGGACAAATTGGTTATTTTGGTCATTGTCCTGCTCCAGGGAGAGGAAGGCATGTGAGCCGTTTGGGATCGTGAGTCTTGTTGGGGAAACTGTGCATATCCAGTGACAGATCTACGTGGCGACAGCTTGGGCTAAGAGTGCAACACCCTGAGGTTCACAGTGTTGGGGAAAAGATTGTGCCTCCGTAACGCCGTATCTAGAAAAACCAGTGGAATTAAACAAGTGATGGATTTGGGCTAAAAAAAACTAAAAAGGTTCATCTTTCAGTGATATAACTTCTACACAGTCAGCTGAGACTGTTAGAGGCAGTATCTCCTAAACAAAGGTTTTGCGACAGGTCACCCAGAAAAAAACTGCATCAAAGGCTGAAAATAAGAAAAGTCAAGATGAGCAGAGAGCGTCACAGGAGGCCGGGTCATGGCCTCCAATAATTCATAGCAAAAATAGGAAGGGAAAGGAAGAGTTTTACATTGAGGAAATTCATACATTGATTTCCAGATCCAGCAATCTGTCGATTAAATAAACAGCGAAAAACCATGACGCCTTTGGAGGGATTGTGCATATTGACCACTTGCACTTATGGTGGCTAAATGTCTTTTAAAAACGTACCTCTCAAATAGTGTGATACAAGACATTTGGACTTCAGCAGAATTGCATGCTATAGACAAATATACACCTGTAAATTGCTTAATCACAGAGAAAAATATGAGAATACCAGGAGAAAAATCCTGATAAATATTTTCATTTATTTCAGTTTGCTATCAAATTCTATTTACCAGGATGCTAGCTCCTAGATACCATGTTTTCAGCCAAATTTTATCAGTACAGAATGATTAAACAGGCCAGAACCTTACTTGGAATTCTTCAGGATATTTATGGCAGTGAAAGCCTTATGGTATGTAAATGTTTTTGTTTTCTTAGGTGTGAAAAGCTCTGTAATATGTAACAGATATTTTTGTATAACTATGCAAATATGAAATAGCATATCTTTATGCAGGGAAATTTGTTTTGCGTTTAGAAGTACCTTTTTAATTTGCAAAATGGCAAATAGCTGTGTTTTATCAGAGTGTATTGCCTCTCTATATACCTGCAGGACCTCAAAGGGATGAAGACACTGGAATTACAACGGGCAAAGCTGATACAAACAAGCATAAGAGATCATTCATTATCTAAGTGAAAATAATAATTTTAAAAAAAGCTCTTCAAGCCAGGAACAGGACTCCTCCATAGGAAGTCTAAGAAAGCCTGCCTGTTGTGCTCTCAGTGCCTTTCAGAGGCTAGAGGGCTGTAAGCCCTGGGCTCCTTCATGGTTGCCTTGCTGACCTTTGCCACACGGGCTCAGATCCCGCTGCCTCCGCTGGCGTTCCCCTTGCTAGAGGAGAGCTGCAGTGCCTTGGGCTGGCGTCCTGGGGAGCGCAGCTCTCCCGGCGAAAAGGCCTCTTTTCCTCATCCCTCCGCTCAGCCCCAGAGCATTTCACTTGGCCTTTAAGCACTTTCTCGCAACTCAACCTCCAGCTTCCCAAAACCGTGTTCCTAGTGTCCATGGGGCCAAGTTATCCAGCCCTGGCTTCCTCCAAAATGTCATCCTCGCCTTCCTTCCCAGCCCAGTTTCTCCCCAGTCATCCTCTTGGACCCAGCCCAGTCCCTTTGGGGCATTTCTAGTCTGTCCTCACTTGTCAATTTGTAGTAGATATTTAAACACATAATAATAATAATAATAGATGAATTGCTACCCCTACTGAAAGTAGTGGTGAAGCTCCCATAGTCACTGGATGCCAGCCAACCCCCTGACCTCAAGGCAAAGCTCTCTAAGAGATTTCCATCAGGCACTTCCAATATAACCTTTATTTCCCCCCAGCTTTATGAGCTAACATGTTCTAAAAGCTTAATATGTTTTCCCTGGGAAAAAAAAGAAGTCAATAAGAGACAGAACAATTTAAAGAGATGATACACCTTACAGAATGGCAAAGCAGGTATTTGGATGAAAAAAAAATGCAGTAGAAATTGGACACTAGGAAAATCAGAAGCTTATGAAGAAATACCATATTTCCCTCCTATTCATTTATGTTGGCATTTTGTTTCTGGTATGCTATCATGGGATGTAATTCATAAATACCCCAGAAGAGTTTTCAAACAGAAAAAAAAAAGTGCATTTAGGAAGACAGAACTAAATAAACTCTTCATAAAGAACTTAAGAGAGTTTCTTACACCTGCTTTTCATGTACATTGCCCAATTACATTTGCTAACATTTTATAAAATGCTCTTGTAAACCCATTCAGAGTTATCTAATAAAACTACTTGCACAAATGTGCAGAAAAGAACCCAATTTTAAACAAACCCACAGATTTATACAGAAGGAAAAAATGCATTCTGACAACATACCAAATTCATTACTACTTAGCGCTTGTTGAAAAAAGTTATTGCCTATAGAGAATGTGAAAAACATAAGGTTTCAATAAAGATATGTTATATAATTCTTGTAATAAGAGATGTGGTTGCATATAGCCTCTAAACTACTTTTTCTTTTTGAGTTAATAGTTGCTACATTTTTGGTGAGGCAGGGCAAGATTTTCTTGAATGTGTATTTTCAGGTAACAGATACCAATAGCAAAAAATATCTGAAAGTGTGAATTTGTTGCAAGTCATAGTACAGAAATTATTCTCATACACAAAGTACTGGAAATTATAGATTAGGAAAATAATAATAATGATGACCATATAAAGACAGGAAAAAAAAAAAAGAGAAAAACATAAGTGCAATTGCTTTGGTTCATAAACCACATCCCATTAGAGGTATAATGGAAAGAAGGTTGGTGAAATCCACTATTATATTTTGTTGCAAATCACTCAGGACAATGATGTGTCATGCACTCCTGAACATAGTTCTTCCCTCAGATAGATGCATGTTTTCATGAGTAAAAGTGCATCTCTGACAGCCTGTGGGTTTGTCACTAAGGTCTGATTTCTTGTTTGTGTTTTTTTTTCAAACTCTTGCAAGTCTGTGTTAGTGTGGTTGCAATTTATGTTGCTGCCAGGGTGGGTAAAAAGTAGTTTGAGAACTTAAAGCTCTGGTTCAGTGCAGTGCATGAGCATGATTAGCATTTATTCTGTGTTTAAGTTTGTCATCCATGTGAATAGAGAATGAGCATTATCCTGGGGCTTGAGCATATTATTCACTACTTTATTAAATCAACATCTACAGTTGTGTTGTTTGAAAGCTATTTTAATTAGTATTTATAAAATAGAGTAAAATTGATTGTTGCATTGTCCTGTATTATGCAAAGAACATCGTCATCAAGAAACTTGTAGCATCAAGCCTATGTCTCTCATATGAAAGAGACGTAAATGCTGGAAAAATGTGAAGTTCTGCCAACAACTGTTCCTCCTCAAGCATGTTTCTCTTTAGAAATGATTAAAGGATTATTTGAGGATGATGCCATAGGTGGGGCACTATTTGTGTATGGGGCTAAACTTTGGAATAGGGGAATACAAGGCACAAATGCTGCTGCTGCTATCAGGCTCCAAGATTACACCTATGGCCCAATAGCTCTGGGAAGTTTCAAGCTCAGTAAAGCTTGTATAGATTTACTACTATTTTTTCAAGTGTGTGTTGCAGAGCTTTGCTATACTTAGAATTCTGTTCTTCCAGCTCTCCAATTTATGCAAACCTTGTATGTTGCTTCAGCCTGGGTCTGAAGAAGAGGTTCCTCCAGAAATGGTCTTACTTGGTGACTTCATCCTGCAGGTGATATTTTCTGTTGTGTGTGGTTTTCCCATAGAAAAATTTACCATGTTTCATCTCCTGGCATACTATATTTGATAGATGTCGCATAACTCTCTCCATTTGATACATTTTACACAAAAGGGCTACCCTGTATGGTCTGTCTGTCTGTCTGTGGCAGATGGCTTTCCATACGCAACACAATAACTCCAATCCTACTGTGTTTCTGTAACTGCCATTTTTATTTCTGCATGAATACACTGTTATCCATCCAATATTTTAAATGCACAATCAAAGCATATATATATATTTTTTAACCAGGACAATGACTTCACAACCATCAAAAACACTTGGTAGCTGCAGTCTGAGCATACTGGTGTTACACTTTTAAGGAGATACCTGTCCCTTCTTCTAGAAGACTAGTAGGACAGTACTTCTTGGAGGCAGTAGAACAGCATCCCCCCATTTTGAGCAGCTGGTCTGCTCGTGGATGGAGATCCTGTTAAAGAACCTCATGAGCAACAGCACCTGTTGAACACCACAAATTCAGTTACTGAGTGGATAGGCCCTCCACGTGCTTCTCGTTCTGCTGCATCTTCATACAGATGCTCTTCAGCCTTACAGCGAGGTGCCCCTCTTCCCCCCACACACAGTTACACAGCACTGAAACACTTCTACAAGGAGCAGCAGGCTCACACGAGGGAAGCACAGCCACAAACACGGTCACATCTATGGGTTCATTTTAAGCCCAAGACACAAGGCCAGTTCAGATTTTTGAATTTTTCCATCCTTGTTCACGTCGCAATGGTTGAGCAGAATCTGGCGAAATTTATCCAGATCCACTCCGCTGATGCTGGGCTGGAGACAAAAAAGAAAGAGCTGTTTTTAGGGGAGAAAATACCTCTGGATTTCACTAGTCTTGGGAATTTCCACTAGACCAATGAGAATTATGGAGACAGGGAAATACTCCGAAGCTACCAAGTGGCCTGGCCGCATGCTAACTTGTGGAAGGCAGGGCAGAAATAAATGATGGTCCTGAAAAATGGTTATGGCTAGTTTTAAGGGACTGCAAGTAACTGGAAGAAAGTCTAACACAATTTTTTTTCCTTATCCAAGTCCATAATATCTGATCCATATGACACAAAAGTCTGTAGGAGGACATGTATCCACAGAGCCACAGAGCTTTGCACTACTGGGAGATTTTTTTCAAAAAGAGAACAAATTCATGCACAGCTTGCAGCTCCTGAGGATGATGAGGCTGAAGGCCCTTAGCTAAGGTGTGAAATCCCCTCTGAGCACGCGCATGCACAGAGCATAAATCCAATGTCCTGTCTCTTCTCACACACGTCCTTACATATTATATGGCCACAAATACGTACGTACACAGCCAACATATGGCCACCTGGTTTGCATTTTGGTTCAAACATTGTTGTGGTTCACAGTATCAATTTCAGCTTTCTCCGGCAGTTTGGCAAATGTGAAAATATGTCAGGAAAATATTACTCTCATATGAAGCTGGTTTACACAACAAGCATATTATAAGTTTATGTGACATCCTCTGACACTGTAACTTATTTTGTTGTTATTGGCTATAGCTATCCAAGGTTCAAAGGTGGCATATGGTCAATTAAGTTGGAAGCGAGAAATTGAAAGTGGCTGGCAGAGGAAGGTGCTAAATGGCAGGAAACCAAGAACAATACCCACCAGCTTTTCAGAGGCTGAAAGCAGATGCCATTATACCCAGCTGCGTCATTAATCCATGGACATGCACAGTTCCTCTAAAGCCAAGCTTTGTTAAACAGGAGTCGTTATATAGATTATAAGGGAAGCTGCTGGTGACCTCCATAGTTAGCTTTCTGATCATATTTCTTTATAAAAGATTATGAAGAGTTTTGTTTGGAGAAGCCTTCATACTTCCCAGTATTTGCAGAAGTCCTAAATCTTTGGCAGATATATTTCTATTGTGCTATTCAAGCACCTCTTCCTTATTCTGGGAAATTCCAATAGGATTTTGCTGAGACCCAGAGCATTGAGAAGTGCCTTTTTTTTTTTAAACTCATATATCTCAGGAGAATTGTAGCAGCAGGCCAGAGTATTCCCAGTAAATGACTCGGTTCCTGCTTACACAGTGGCAGCTGGAAAACATGCAGTGTGAATGTCGAGGCGCTCCTGGGGTAGAAGCAGCAGCCAAACAAGGCATAGGCAAGACCTGAGCAGGGCTCCCTCTTTACTTGTCCCGGATGCAGGCCATGCTCTGAAGGGCTTATGGTTTTTCTCCTCTGTGGATTTTATGTACTAAGGAAGAGCTTCAGCAGCAGAAGAGAGTCCACCTGGATTCTTTACAGACATTCCTCCAAAGTTTAGCAGAGTTTGCTAATGGCTAATTCATTTTTGGGGGGGAACACAGTGTCCAAAAATGGACAAATCTCTCACAACGAGGCTTAAACATATCTTGGGGTGAGAGGTACCCCTACACTGACCTGCACTTAGTGGAGACTGCTCAGAAACCAAAGCCAGACAGGGGCTTGGTGTTAGGGCCAGCACTGGGCAGCTGGATTGAGCTGCAGGCTCCACACTCAGCTAAATAACCTGGAGGATGAAGGTGGTTCTGCACAGAGTGCTTCAGCATGGAAATGAATAGCTCAGGCTCAGAGAGAGCCAAAGAATGGATCAAGAATAGATCAAAAACTATACCTTGAACCACATCTGGAAACTCAGTGTAGTCCAATGCAGATGGATTCTGCTGTCTGTAAAAAGCTCTAGTCGCACACAGGGCATGCTCTTCTTAACTGGTGGAAGATACCAAGTAGTTTTCAGTGTATTCCTGTTAAGAGCTAACACACCTTGAAGTCCACAGGTGTGGTAAAGATCATAACCTCAGTGAAAAGGAAGGAAAGAGGAACTTCTGGAGACTGATCCATGCTCATGTTACGTTAGCCAGGTCTTTGAAGTGGAAAAGTTTAACAACAGCAATTTTTTGTTTGTTTGTTTGTTTTGTTTAAATATATACAAGGCTCTGTACTACTGTTACCACATTCCAGATGTGCACTGTCTTGTCCTCCATGAACAGCCGTGAGGCAGGAAAGATCTCCAGTTTGAAGGCAGAGTTATGAGGAGAAATGATTTGCTTGAAGCCAAAGAGAGTTTCTGCAGCAGAGCCAGCTCTTTGGAGACCCATGCTGGGGTTTCAGTCATCTGTCTTTTGGTTTCCAAGCACAGCATATTCCTGTATGCTGTGGAATATCTATATCTGAATCCGAGTTCATTGCCTTGCAAAATCGCAGCCATTAATGATCTCATGCTTGAATTTCCTGAAGTTTTGACCAAGTTTGGTGATGTGCTGGGAAGTATTGTCTGTACTGCTGTCGGTGGGAGCTGAGGGCACTCAGGTCTTACCAGCATTACATGTCATTGTATTCAAGGCGGGAGGTGATAGAAAAAAGTGGTGGCACATGGTCTTCATTCTAATTTCTCTTTCTTTAAGCTTACTCAACACCCTTCAGCTATTTCACACTGAATACTCATTTAGCTAAAGAAAACAATGTGTGTGCGTGGGGGGCTAGTGTAGACAAAGACAAAATTTTCATTAAGTGTTCATGTTGCTGTAATGTCTACCTAATTTACAATATGAGCTAGAATGGGGCTTTCTTAAATACATTCACTTAGTAAAGCTGTATTGATTTGTCAGGCAGAATTTATGTGATGAGGCAAATGTTCTATAGTATAGTTTTGTGGGAGTAATTTCTGCCTCTGATCTAAATGAAATTTGACTCTAGATTCTCGTTATCCTCTCTATTTACATAACTTTAATAAAACAAGCACTTTCCTCTCTGAAAAACAGAGTGCTAATAAATACAAAGAACCATGAAGCTACCTTGACCAGTTCCATCATATCTTTGACAAACCCATCCACTTCTGGGCCTTCAAGGGCTCCTGTCTTACTCTGAAAGGCAAAAGAAACACCAAAATCCTTCAGTAAGTAAAAAACACAATGTTTACTAGTCAGTAGGTCCACCCTGTCACCGGGCTCTAGGGTGCCAAGATCCCTTCCCTCTTCCCAAACGAAAGCTCAGCCCAGACTCCCTAAGTAGCTATAATTTCAGTCCTACACCATTCTCACTCTGCCCCCAAACCTTGCACCATTGCCTGGCACCTAGAGCCCTATGACCTGTGGGCTCAGCATAGCTACAACCCCTGAGCAAGAGCTACAACACCCACAGGACTGAAGTAGTTTTAGCAGTGGATGTTTAGTCTATAAAACCTAAGGAATGCAAGAGAAGAGCTTCTGGGACTCACAACGTCGTAGTGTGCAAAGATTTTCTCAAAATCTCTCTTCCTTTCTTCTGTGCTACAAGCCTGCACACAGGGAGGACAAGGACATGAAAAAGGAAAGGACGGATTCAAGTTTGAGTACAAGTTATCTTAGCTGAGAAACGCATGATGAATCCTTGAAAAAATACTGTTACTCACATCCATTTTAAATTGAAGAAGGAAATTTTCCTGGAGCGCTAGAATTCTGAACAGAGAGATATAAATTACAATCCTTCCACTTTATCATCTACATGCAAAACTATTCTGAACTATTCTGGTTCATAAAGCAGAGAGATTTTCGATTATAGGCCCTTTAAAAAGAAAATCACCACAGGGTTATTTATAGAGGCCTGTTATGTGAATGTATGCCCCCCCTCCCTGTTTGATGAGGGAATTGCAGGCCTTCTTCGCTTCACTGAAAACGTATTTCTAAGTGCTCTTGCTCCTCACAGAGTATTTCTGATGACCCAGTGCAATGGAGGTTGTCAGCCTCTGAAGCAAGAGCTACCAGACAATTATTTCTCTGTAACTGGATTGCTGTGGTGTGTTAAAGCAAATAGCAATTTATTGCTCTCTTTTAGAGGAGGAATTGGTGGCTGTAAAAGTAAAGGACAAAGTAATGCTGGCCTAAGCTCAGAAACTGGACAAATTCCTTTCCTTTCCCCCACAGCCCCTTGCAGCACTGATAAAGGCTTTTATCTCTGCAGCTGCTCTGCTAACCCTGAGCTGCTGAACGTGCCGAATTGCGTCCGCACGCCCCAGGGCTTGGGAAGTGGGGAGCATGTTCAGAGCAGAGGGCAGCGCAGCCGGCACAGGGTGAGGGAGCAGCTGGGCGAACCATCTTGAAAGGGTAAATGCAACAGCAAGCTTTTAAGAAGGCTTTACTTGTACTTTTGAAGTCCCATCCACTCATTCCACATTCATTTGTACACATGCGCATACTCTCTCTCAGTGAAAACCATTACAATGCCTTTGAGGGATGAGGGATCAGAAAAGAGGCAGAGGCACGAGTCAGTCTTCAGCATCTTTCACTCCTATGCCAGTCTCATCTCCCCAAATCCTGTGCTACAGATGTTTGCAAGCCCCCTTGCAGTGTCACCTTCTTTCCTCAAGTGAACAGCAAAATCATTTTGCAATCCCACTGCATGCAAAGACCGCAAAGACTTGATTTGAAAAGAGGCAGGATTCAAATGCACTTCTCCACAGGGAGATCTGTTAATGCTGTAAAGCCTCTCCCTGGGTGGATCTGCGTTGCAAGCTGAAGAAAAGTCTCCATGTTATTAAAGCCTACCTTGCTAGGTCATTCAGGTCCAGCCGCCCATCTTTGTTTTTGTCAAAGATTTTCATCTAAAAACCAAGGAGACAGTGTTGCTTTAAGAGAGTAACCTTGAGGCAGGGACTGAGGAGGATGTGCTTATAAACTGGCCGAGATATGTTTAACTTTGCCATCTAAGGGGACGGGGAGACTAGGCAGATGGGATGAAGCCTCCACACCAGCCTGGGGAAGTCGAGGTGGTCCTCAGGGCCGGCCCCAGGAGGGCAACGGGCAGTGGGATCGGAGCAAGGAGTGACAGCCCCGGCTTCCCACATCTTCTTCCCATGGCCCAACCACAACCCAGCCAGCCACCCAAAGCCTCAATCTCAAAGAAAGAACAGCGGGTCTCTGACCAGTACCTCATCCCTGGAAAAAAATAAATGGGGAGATTAAAAGCCCTCCTGGCCTGGATTCATCATTTTCTTTGATTGTTGCTATAGCTACAGTGCAGCCAAAGTGCCTTCTTCCAAGAAGACTAGGACAAGGCAAGATCCAGGCTGCCACTGTAAAGAGGTCAATCTGTAGAAACACAAATACTATCTTTTCCTTACTGTAAGCCTTTTGATGAGTCATCTCCAGGTATTGTTTCTTATTTATTTATTTTTATTGCCTTGTGTATTATTTGCCACTGTGTTTCCCTGCCATGCACAAGTAAGAGTCATTTACATAGGAAATGGCGAGTGTACTTAATGGATTCAAACATGAATAACTTACAGCTCAAAGCTGGAGAAAAAATGTAGTTCTTATTTTAATAGGAAAAAATAATATTCTTCTTAGATGGATTAGTATTTTACTAAGATTGCTTGCCTTTCCTTGTCAGAAAGGGGGTATCCAGAGGTATCCAGAAACTGGATACCTCTTTTTCTTTCGGGAGTCTAATTTGACGGTGGTTTTTCATGAGCATTGCCTCTGCCTTCCCCTTGCTCGATGGAAGGCAGCAAGGCAGAGTATGAAGAGCCTGTGGTAGCTTGTGGTTGTACTGGATTGAGATAAGACTCTGCGAGAGGCCCTTATTCAATAATTATTCCGAATGATTCACACTACGGAGGTTTGGATGGGATTTTTAAAGAGCACTCAGTAAGGCCCACTTTTCCCTGCATGGAAAGGAAGCACAGCACTCCTACGGATGATTGAGGGCCCATATTGGGACCTTCAGAAAATATCATACCTAGGCTCTATTGCAATTTGGGTTGAAAATGCTTCTCTAAATCTCTCATTTTAGCCCATCAAGGAACAGGAACTGTCTGTACAATATTTGCAGATGCCATAAAGCAGAGCACTACATATGGTGGGGAAATACAGTGCTTTCTGAGAAGCTCTGGGCTAAGCACTTTCCTGGTGTGGCCAAAATGTATTCTGCCTGTCTGAGATAGGGCAGAATTTGCTGAAGGCACTGGCCTAATCTTTTTTTTCGTATTAAAGATATAAAGTCCTTACTGAAGCATGCTAAAAAATACTGCCTTTAGCACTTACTCTCTTTGGCATCAGTTTCTGTTATGTATTTCTGAGTTCCTGCAGATATTTTTTATTTTTCTACCATTTTCTGAGTGCCTCAGAAGTGCTCTCTTGAGACTAAAACCCTGCATTTCAGCCCAGAAACTTCAGATTTAAGCAGATATGTTACTCTGTCTGCAGTGCCTCAGGAGAGCAAATATATAGACCTTCTGAGGGAAGCTTAACTCTGTGAACAGCAGGTCCTAACCTCTGTGCAAGCCCTCCAATGCTCACACCTATAAATGCTGACTACGATGGCAGCTCTCAGACCAGGCCATGTCCCCAGTTCAAGGAGCAGAATTAGGCATGTTTTTCGTTTCACTCTGGGGCAAGCCATGATTTTGTTTTTCAGTCAAACATCTCTTCAAATCTCATCTTCTTTTCTATAAAATGAGCAAGCACCCTGGCCTATCTTTGCTTTTCTTGGGACAAGCTGTTGCCTACCTAGCATCTGCTCTGCATCATGGGTACATGTTTAGGATTTAGAAGTCACATTTAGAAGTCATGGGAGGCTGAAGAGCTTCCTCTTCAGGCAATACTCTAGATTAAAGGTAATGGCATGGGAGGCTGAAGAGCTTCCTCTTAAGGCAATACTCTAGATTAAAGGTAATGGTTCAGATGTGAACACCTTTCTGTTTCCTTATCAATCTTCTGAGCCAGTGGTTCTAAGATTTATCCATTTCTGGATGCTTTACAACTTTCTGATGGAGGTGCAGACCCTCTTACAACAGGTTTAACAGAAGAGGTAATATATTCCTTAGCAGAGCACTTAATAAAATGCAATGTCCCCAAGTAATTGACTTTGTTCATGCTCTTTGAACTTTACATTTAACTTTCTGTGGTTTACCTTACTTATATCTAATCAGCTCCCCTCTCAGGCCTGTTTCACTCAGCTCTACTTTTGCAACATGGAGAGGGAGACTTTGCATTTTCGAATTCCCCTTTGCCTTTTTTTCTGCAACAAGTATCCTCAAAAAATATTTTTGAGCAAGTTTAATGTTTTGCTTGCCTGCACTAGTCAACAAAGAGAAAAAGCAAAGTCTTGCTGCAAGACTAGGCTGAGCTACTTCTTCAATAACAAATTTCACATGAAAGATGGAAAACATGTAGTGAAGATGGAATAATGTTCACTGCATTAGTTCAGGTACCACAGCTAAGAAGATAGACATAATTCCGTTACCCGAACAACTGTAGCTCATGCATGCCCAATATATGGCAACCTTAGGATGTACCACCCAGGAAAAGCTTGGGATAGGATTATTAATTAAACTTTCAGATTTAAGGCATGCAGGTATTTGATCTGATCAGATAATTGTGTACTTCTGTACACAAAGAATGACAGGGGTATTCATGCCTTATGATGAAGCATGGGAAAAGTAAGTAGATATTTGAAATTATTATGAATTTGTTGCTACTTTAAACTCATGCCTTTAATCATCATCTTGACATGTTAAGGATGGTGGACTTTCAGTTTGCATGCCTGAGACGTGTATTTATGCTGCCACTCTTGTACGAAACATCTCAGCATATTTAACCTGCACTTAATCTTAGTAAAAGCTTTACCGTATCTAGCACTATGTTATATAAAATGATGCATTTGCTTTACTGTCAAGCTACCTGATGTTTTAAAGTGTTTGCAAAATTAATTCACTGACATTTTAATGGCAGTGCACCAGGGGAGTCTTAGTTGTGTTTGTTTGAATTTGGTCCCTGCACTCTGAGGCAGACAGGGCATAAATGAAAGCTGGGTTGGCAAAACAAGAGTTGTTACATCTTGCTTTTGCTTTTTTAAGTGCAAAATCAAAACTGCCATTGGCTTTGAATTCAGCACTGAGAATATCTCTTCTTCCTCAGTGAGGCATTGTAAAGAAGGCTGCTGAAATACTGAGGTGTGACAAACAAAAGCAGGCTTTGAAGAGCAATCTGAGGTTATAAATCTGAATTATTTTCTGTAGGAGAAGCTAGTACGGAAGTAAACAACCAAAAAAACAAAACAAAACCCGTGATCGGTGGAATTACTGGTGCCTGTCTTTAAATGTCTTTCTGTCTGGGTTCTGTGATGTTCTGGGTTCTCTGTCTGGTGTTTCTCTCTCTTCTTTCTCTGACCATCGAGTCTCATAAAATCTGTATGGAATTTCAGTGCCTCTAAACCAATGACCCCCCTTTCAGACTTAACTAAAATTGGCTAATGAGTAAAAAAGCTACTGAGGGGATGGACACATCCTCATGGGGGGTGTGCATGGCCCATATCCTGAGGACAGGGCAGAAATCTGAAGGCTCTTGCTTTACAATAGCAGGACCCTGTGACCAGCAGGCTGCCCTAAGGGCAAAAAATCCCATTCTTTTGCCCCACCAGGTCTTCTGTGTAATCTAGACAAATCATTTAGAGAAATATTTCAGAGAATATTTTTTCCTCCTGAAAGACCACGGGGTTATATCTGCTGCGATTTTCTAAAGCCTGCAGGTACCAAAGCTCTTTTTGCTTATCTTTAAAAACAGCTTGGCCTCAAATGTGATTTTCAGCTTTCCACTAGCTTACGTCAATGATGATCCTCAATGGCAACAGTGCCACTGGGATTAAATCTCTGAGAGACATGGGAGCCAGATTTCCCTCCATTTTATTCATTTCTGTAGTG